TTTTAACAAACTCCTCCTAGAGAATTTATCAGATCTGCTTCAAAATTAGTTGCTATTATGATGCTATTTCTGGCATTTAAGGGCTTCTGTTTTAACTAACTCCTCCTACAGATTTTATCACATTGACTTCAAATTCAATCACTTCAATCTACACACGTTATCAAAAGTTGTGCTGATTTTGAGCTGATTTATGTGAGATTTTCATGTTGTGGTTTGCACATGTTACGACGGCATGTGACGCAGCCGCAGCACGCCCCGAGTTGCGTGGAGTGCGAGGTCCTGCCCAATGCTGCTTGCAGCTTTAAATAATATTAAAGTTCCTCGGGGCACCACCCTTAAATAAGGGAATGGTAACCAATAATCGGTTGATCAGTCTCATAAGAATTACTCTAAACTATTAATTCAGAAGTCAGATTAATAATTAAATTAATAATTACAACCAAAATCATTAATAATAGCTAAATTGGGAGGTTTGGAGTTCTACATAGAAGAGGTTGGTATCACTCATTCTTGTACGAAATTAAATAGGTCAGCATATATATATATATAACACAAACATTTATTAACCAGATATAATAAAAGCAAACAAAATATACAATCTAACTTAAAGGAACAAAGCTAGATGTAGCTATAATCCTATGTCGTGCATCATCGGTGGGTCAGGCCGCACCGAGGTCCAAACTTATCACCCGGTGTGGGTGTGAGCCAGTTGGATGGAAGATGAGAAGAGAGAGAGAGAGAGAGATAGAGAGAGAAGATCATCTCTCTGGCTTAAATAGCCGTGATGACAGGTCTGGTGTCAGAGGGAATCTTGACCAATGAAAGGCTGGTGTTTGGCCGTTTATTGCCTTTAAGACACACCCTGGCCGCATTCTGGGACCGCCACTGTAAGGTCTGTTATCTGGCGAGCGTATGTCCTTTGTTTCTAACCCCTACTAGAAAGGTTTTATGGCTTACATACAGGCCTCAGGAGAATTCCTTAGTTTCTGAGCACATGGTCAGATTCCAACATGTTCCTTTATGTTTCAGTTAAACACTTCAAATGAACAAGTTCATATTTAAAGGTATCCTTGGATCCCAACAAGCTTCTCAAATGTAAATACTTTTCCCTGATATCAAACTAAGGTCTTGCAAGCATTCTGGAGTGTTTGTTAGACAAACCAACACATTAAAAACCGCACTGTGGACTCTGAGGACTTGACTATTTGCTGACATTTTATGTCACCACATTTTATTGATCAATCGATTCATTGGGAAAAGAACCCGATAATCAACAATGAAAATAATTTTCATTCCCTAGACCAAACAACCAACATGTTTGCTAATGATTTGCACTGAGTAGCAGAAGAATGATAAAGGAGATATCACAACATCTGAAACCATTACACTGACTGCAGACTAACAGTCTCTAACTACAAGTAGCTTCTTAAAGTGAACACATGCAGTGCGACGCACATGAAAGCGGTTTGTTGTGTTATTGACATTGACCTATTTTTTCCTCACTCTGCCTCCCCGAGCCACACACTAATAGAACCTTTTCTTCTTTTTAAAGCTTGTTTTTGCACTATTTCTGCTCTGCTAAACTCACACAGTGCAGAATGGCAGGAAGAGCAGTCCATGCTACAAGTCAGACTCAGTTGTGAGGACACGACATGAGGTCAGCAGCATCACTGACTCGGGTCTTGCGGCGGTGAAGCCTTGTACTGCACCCATCTTCCATATCTACGGGATTGTTGTTGCACAGTTAGATGTCTGTTGGGTATTTTTATTTGGTTAACAAGCAAACCGCTAAGTGACTGCGTGGTTAGTGTTTTCAGACCAAATGAAATCACTGTGTCATAGCTATGTGAAAGATGTGCTGAGTCATCAGCGGTACTGAAAAGCCGCATAAATAATCATAGTGAGAATCAGAGGGGAGAGAAAGTTTACCTAGCCATTTCAAGCAAAAACATGTCAGCCACGTTTGTGAAGGTCTGAATTTATCTACAGCAGAGCTCCAGACTGACTGACACCCCACTGCTCCCTCTGTAACCCTCCTTCCTCTGAAACAGTTTGCTCCATCTGTCGGTCTGAGAATAAGTAGCACTATACACAACAGAATGAGGTATAAACAATATTTATTGAACAGAATTATTTTCTATAGACTCTTAAGGTAAATTAATATTAACATATATAAGAAATTGTAGAAAATATGTGGCTCTGCTGCCTGGTAATTAGTCCAGTCAATTCATTCATTCATTCATTCATTCAGGGATATGTAGATATAAACTGCTCATTTTAAGGTAACAAATATTACATTAAAGACATTCAATTTCTGCCAATAGATCCTCCTAAATGTTACACACTGGACATTTTAAAAGGCTTTTGATTTTACCTTTTTATTGTTATCCAGGGAAAAAGCTAAATTGTCTGATTTTTGTATAGAATCTCACGCAAAGTATATGTGTAAAAATATCATTATTGGCTTTAACAAAATGTATACCTGTGTAAGTATTGGCTTTCAGAACCTACATTGGTCAGATGCAGTATACTGTACAGTATTAGAGCTCCTGAACTGGTGTCCTGTTGCTCGACTAAATAAGGCAACATTTCAGAGAGAGAGAGAGAAAGAGAGGCGCGTGGCAAATTGGCAGGGAAGCTTCACACATTCTCATCGATCAAAGTGTGTGCGCGCGGGTTTCACAGCAGATGGTGACAGTGCATGAATCCGTGCGTGCGTGTATGACGTCCATATGACATCACACAGACCCCCTTCTTTGCCAAGCACACACTGGGGCGCACTCTTATCTATGCACTTGTATTTATAGCGTTTCTGCTGTGTGCGCGTGTTGGTCAGTGGTACACATTGGTATGCCAGCGCACTCTGGATTGTGTCAGTGACTCCTTGTATATACATATGCACTATGTCAGAGTGTGTGTGATATCTCACAGTAAGGCAGGTGGAAGTCTTTGTGTGTGTTTCCCGTTCATTGAGGCGTAAAGGTGCAATCTGGATGTCTGACTCAGAAGACCTGCCTCATCACCTCCACACACACACACACACACACACACACACTATTAACACTGTGATGCACACCTCATCTCACATAGCAAACAACATTATTTTCAGGTCTATTTCTGTTGTCTGGCTCTTTCACTCAGCTCTATTTAAGAACCAAACCCCTGAAAAAAGACAGGATTCACTTTGCATTTGTCTGGGGATTTAGGACTGTTGTAAAATGACTGGCCAATGACTGGTGAAAGTAACCCCCCGCTGGGATTGGAATCATTTCTCTGGAGGCAGCACAGTAACTCAGTCTGTGGTATTACAAGGTTTGAGTTATTCATCAGGGTGCACATTCTTCCCTTGAAAATAGTATTAATATCAGTCCCAGTGATACACACTATAGGACAAATAAATGTCTTATATGTCTAGCTCGGTTATTATGCTGAGAGACAAAAAAGAAATGCTACTGCCTTTTCTAAACAAGTGGGAAAGCAGTGGCATTGGGGAATAAGTGTACAAATGGTTGACAATTAAGGGAAAACAGTATGTTAGTAAGGTGTAAAACAGCCCCAGTGCTCCTTGTCAGTGGTTCTTCAAGTGTGCTGAGCTCTACTGGAGGGATGAACCGTGTTCCTCCAAAAGATATTTTCTCATTTGGTGTTTTGATGAGGGTGGTGAAGAATGCTGTCTAACACGTTGCTCCAAAATCTCCCATTGGTGCTCAACCATCAACAGGACCTTTTTAAAATGCCCATTAGACCCTCCTCCAAGATTACTAGGACTCATGAAGAACCCGTAGAACCTCGTCAGTGGCACTGTAACTTCTTAAACTTAAACCTCAAAAAGACTCGGTGGGTCACCCATGTACCGAGGCTGAGTCCTTGCTGCAGCGGCCCAGGGTTCGAATCTGACCTGCGGCCCTTGGCTTTGTGTCATCCCCTCTCTCTCTGCCCACCTTTCCTGTCTGTCTTCAGCTGTTACTATCATAAAGGCAATAAAAGCCCAAAAAAAAAAAAAAGACCCTCTTCAGTGACCATTAGAATCTCCTAAACAACTTCTTGAAAAATTCTAATGCCTGCTAAAACCCCCCTAAAGAAACTCTAGGACCTTCTCATCGACCTCTAGAACCTCCTTAATGACCCCTAAACTCCTAAATGACCACTAGACCTCCTAAGGGGGCCCTGGAACCTTCTCAGTGACCCCAAAATCGTCACTGACCACCACAACCTCTTAAGGACCTTGAGAACCTCTTCAATGGCCATTCCAACTTCCTAAACCACCATTTCCCTTGAACCAACTCCTAATAAATAATTGCATAACAGTGGTGCATGGAAACAAGCATTCATTTTCTTTTGCCAAATTATTGAAATTCAGTTAACATTTGCTATACATTTGGATGGAAACGCATGCATGTCTAACTGGTCTATTCAAAAAGTGGAACCAAGGATTGTAAGACTGGCCATACCCTATTGTAGGTGTATTTGTTGCATGGTATTGCCGAGAGCTGAGCCATGAAGCATTTCCACTTTGTAGTACGGCACAATGCCCTGTTCTTGGGTTTCACAAAGGTTTTGGGTTGGGCTTTTGTTACAGTCACTTGGCCTTGTATGTTTTGGGGCGTGTTTGCCTGGTACTGACGAGTGTGTCACGGTGTCATATTCGGCCATGATGATTGCAGCCCTTTGTCAAAATTAGAATTGTGTCGCCTCAGTAACTGATGAAAGATTGTGGCAAGTGGTAAAACCTGACCCGTACCGGTGGCTGTTATCGTAGGGGCTTGCAGGATCTGCACAGGCCAAGTATCTCAGAAAGTCCCGACTTCAACACTAACTGTAGGTGAAATTGTGCAAAAACATTGCAAATGAGTTCCAAACCCAAAAGGACTATGAGTTATCAGACTGTTCACCAATAAATACTCAATTGCCCTGTTAATATTACCATTTAAATCATCTAAATGTTTAAACTACATCATCAAATTGATCTCATTTTGTGTTTTCTCACTTTTTCTCCCCAGAACCAAACTTCACGCTGAACCTCGAAACTGTCCTAAATCCCAAGATGACCGCTGAACCCACAGAGCTGGCATGTCATGTGACCAACATTACACATTTACCCCTGGGAGGCCGACTGGGTGTCACCTGGGAGCACACCACAATTCCTGGTACTTCTACCTCAGCCTTTGTTTTTCCACAAAATTGTATTTAATATTAGAAATGACTAAGAAACCTCTTACAGAATTACTTATGGTTTTCAATCTGTCCAATCACCTGCAGGTATAGGGGACGATCCTCAGGCCTCAAATCTCATTGGCTCCCTTGACGGCAATGGCAACCTGTTGCCTGGCACGATGTATTCTGACAGGCTGAAGAGCGGCGTGTTGTCCCTGACCAGAGTCCAGCCCAACACATTCAAACTGCGATTCCTCCGCACAGAGGTAGCAAACAAGAGAGCTGTGAACATAGCGACTGATGGAAACGGTGTTTGATAGACAGAGGAAAGATGTCCGGGATAGTCGGCGACAGTTTAGCTTAAGCAGAAGCATTATATGGTTATATTATATGAATGTTGTGTTTGAAACTAATTCTGCTGCCTCCAAGCAGCGAGTGAGTATAAATGTAGTGACTTCAAAGTAAGCAAAGGAAAAGTGACAAATCTGGAGGGCAAGCAAATCACAAGCAAAACGATCATATCTAAAGACGTTGAACTACACTGCAGAACAGTGACTCTCAGCAGCTTCAGTGCCTCTGTCCCGCAGCTAGAAAACATCGGTTGAGCTGAACTGAAAACGAACACAGTGATGTTGATCCCTGACTCATTTTCCCTCTGCCTGTAGGAGTTCGACATGGGCCAGTACGTTTGCACTGTGTCTGCTTGGAGTGTTAACAGCCAGGGGGACTTGGTGAAGACCGCTGAGCACCAGAGCTCCCCGCAGACAGTACAGTGGGTTACCAAACGTAAGGAGGCTTTATTTATCTGCCGTGCTGTATAATACACCCCCTTTAACACATTACCCTTAAAGGTGACACACAGACTGATCTGAAAATGAATTCTTTTTGTGCTGTGGGGGAAACCAACATTTCTATTTGGCACCTTTTATACTTATCTCTGCATGTTACATTCATCTTACTACTCCAGGTTGTATTCTGTGCTTTAATGAGGTACTTTTGGGAAGGGATTCAGAACAGCAGAACCATTACCTTACATTCATGATTAATAAAACTCGAGTACACTGCCAGCCAGGCATAGTAACCCTGCTGTTGAGTTTTATGAATAAGCTCTAATGTCTACGTATCCAGAATTTCATCGTGAAATCCTCAACACAACAACAGAGCTCTTGTCTCTCTTATTCCCAGCACACACACACACTCTCACACACACACTTTGTCTCTATCCTACATGCTGAAGTTGGCGCCCTCAATTTAGCTAATTGAGCCATGATGTAACCGCATTGCTGTGTGTGTGTGTGTGTGTGAGCCCGCTTTGAATCAGAGTAAGTTCACAGTGTCATCGCTTATCACTTCCTGTTGCCCTCTCTCTGGGATTTCCCCCCGCGGCGGGGCTGAATAAGGGGCTCACTGATGGACTGATGCCATTTTCAGGTCCCTCCCTAAACGTCGTGGCCAAGCACATCCGGGAAGCCTCGGTAGGCGGGGCTACCTTTGAGATGAGCTGCACCGTGACCACCGAGAACCTCGGGGAGGTGGGCTACTCGGTGCTCATCCAATCACAGGACAGCGTGGCGAGCAGCGTGAGAACCATCATGACTCTCAGCCCTGACAACGTCCTGCAGCATGGAGGAGCCACCGACCCCAACAGGAGGTACGTACCTGGTTGCATTCACGCATATGAACTTTTCAGGGACGCGCTGGAGTTTGCGATTTATTTTGAAATGTATTCACCTCTCTCTCTTCAGAGACAGTCTGGTTCTGACCAAGTCTGGCCCGACAGAGTTTCGGTTTCGCCTTGCTGGCGTCCAGTTGTCTGACAGGGGTTTCTACTGGTGCGACATCACCGCGTGGACTAAACAGCAGCCGGGGCAAGCCTGGACCAGAGCCACCAGCGCAGAGTCTAACAAAGTCAGGATAGACTTTCAAGAAAATGGTGGGTCAATGTGTGTTTTGTTAATTTGTCCACACAACATGCATTGAGTACTTCATCAAAGCTGAAAACCACTGAGTGGCTGATCACATGATCACAATCGTCTGGTACTTCCAGCACCGAGAAGTCCCAACGCGCCTTGGCCGTTGTCTTCCCTATAGCAGTGGCCAAAGTGGCTCATGGGTACTGTAGTATGCAATGCAACTGATGTCATTCTCAGGAGGGAAGTTGGAACATTACAGTATGGTATCATTAAAAGGATGAGTTCAAACAGAAGCTCTGCCTACTGTAATACTCTGTTGACAGGGTTAAATACTGCACTGTGCTCGGTCATACTGCTACTACTTCCTGTTTTTAATTCTGTCCCACACTTCAATCTTACTTGTTGTTCATAAAGCAGTCTTTTCTTTTTAAGACATTGAGCTCATTTAATGCAATTTCCTACTACCATGCTGTGTACAAAGAGCATAACAGAGGACTAAATGTTGGGAAAACACTGTAGTAAGATTCATCATTAATTTAAAGCCATTTTCTAGTCATTCAATCAGTTATTCACTATCAAAACAATTTAAACGGATACTAGAGAATAAATCCATTTTAATTATCCTGGAAATCCTTTATTAATAGAAATATGCAAGCAGTACATTTATAGACACATTATACACACATCCTCCACCCACACAATGTTAATGATAACCAACATAAGTTCCCTAAAAATAAAGATGCTCACACACACACACACACACACACACCTTAAGCCCTTTAACGCCCACCACAGCCACTGGCCTACTTAACTTTCTTTGATCTGACTGGGAAGTGAGAGACAGTGAGGCGGTGGGAGGAGGAAGAGGAGCGTCAGAAAGGAGAGGAGGGAGAAGATGGAGGCGACGAGCAGGGAGAAGGCCTGAGAAGAAGAGGGAGGTGGTGAAGTGGACTGAGGAGGAAAATGAAAAGGACGAAGGGTAAGGCGGAGAGGGAGAAATGGTAGCAACGTGGAGAGAAGGAAGAAGGAAAAGGGAAAGTGGGGAAAGGAAAGAGCAGACGGAGGAAGAAACAAAAGGAAGGGGGGAGGAAATGGAAGTCGTAATTGATGGACAAAACCGAGGAATGGGGGGAAAGGTGGAGGAATTTGGTATGTTAGTAAGTATATAGCACTTTTTAAAACAAAAACTACAAAGTGCTTCACAATAAAAAGCCTTTCACACAAAATAGCAAGCAGGAAGAATAGTAACACACAGACAAAGAGTTTGCATAATTATGGTAAAGAATTAGTATGAACAATAATAAAGATGATCAAATGTTGAGAGTTTGTGAAAGTTTAGGCTCTACTGATGCACACAGATTTTAGCTGGTCTCAGATGCATCAGCACTGGCATATGTTGGCTAATATCTCGCAGTAAAGAAATGCTATAAAGATATGTTTTGAAAATGCGTTTTTAATTGGAGTTCAATCTGCTGACATAAATATGGTTGAAGAAAGCTTCACTGTTGCTGGGCTTACATAGACTGAAACAGAAGGATTACCAATCAACGCCAGATAAATGAATGAGTCATTAGGGACAGTGTATTTTAGCACAGGCTCGTCCTACACTGCCTAATTTAATGTTTCCTGTCAATCAGTACTGCGGTTAGGGTTAGATATGTTGTGATTTATTTGAGAACACTTGTATTATAAAATAATTATTTATTACATTTTTATTGTAGAACTTTTACAGATGGTTGTAAACACGGGCAGCAATACACAGGAGTTAGCTAGAAGTAGCATTAGCTGCTAAAGCTAACATTACTTGCTCTGTAATTTAACTGCACATTCGCCTTTTTATGAGTTGCGAGGTTTGAGGACGTTTTATGGTTAATTTCCAGTGAGATTTACCCTTTAAAATGTTCTATTATGGAATGCTGCAGGGAGGGCGTATCCTCCTGGTTCGTTCGTCAAAAAGCCAATGGGCTTTCACAAAAGCAAAACAGTTCTTGTTTTCAGGTGAAAAAGATACTTATGAGTTTTCCATTTCTGCCAATAAATCTCAGATATCTAGATTGGGATTGGCCTCAGAAGTCGATGGAGCTCTACTGGGAGTAGACGTAGGTTAGCTGACCTGAGAAACTGCAAGGTACCATATGGACAAACTTCTAAAGTCTACACATGGGCTTCAGCGCGTAGACCCTCCTCCCTACACATGACTTTGTTAAGGAGATGCGCTACAGCCGTGAACCATCTGAATGGGGTTTGTAGGAGGAAAAAAAGAAGTATATGAGCACTGAAAGGGAGGGAGAGAGAGAGAGATAGACTTCAGTCTATCTTCCATCTCTCTCTGGGGACGGCAGTAGCCCTTGAGCATTACTTCCTCTTTTCTCTCTCTATCACTCGCCATTCTTCCTCCCCCGTTCTCTCAGCCATCCTTTCACTCTCTCACCCCCCAACCGTCTCCCTCTCCCTCTCTCTCGCCCCTCTCTCCCTCTCTCTCAGGGACCTCTTCAAAGTGAAGCCCTTTGGCCAATCAGCCAGCTGCAGAGATCTGCACCGCTGCTTTCCTTTTCTTTCTCTGCGTGCGTGCGTGCGTGTGTGTGTGTGTGTGTAATCTTTCAAGTGTTCAAGTGTGTGTATCCAAGTTGAACATTTTGAGTTGACCCCACACAGAGCACCCCCCCCACCCAACACACACTAACAGCGTTCAAGCTTCAAGCTGAGCAGTTTTCGAGAACCCCTTATACTTGCCTTAGGGGACGGAAGTTCTGTGCACTCAGTCGTGTGTGTGTGTGTATGTGTGTTTGTGTGTGTGTGTGTGTGTGTGTGTGTGTTGTGTGTGTGTGTGTGTGTGTGTGTGTATGTGTTACAAGCACATTCACAAACTGGGAAGTCTCCCAAGGTTCCAGCTGTATCTTGAATGTTTCAGACGTGTTGTGGTATTTCTGCCTGTACAGGGATCTTCTATGAGGACGTATATGGAAATGCCAAGTCTCACCAGCACATTCACTATTAAATAATTCAGTGTTTAAGTGATTTCTGTAGATGGGTGGGAACATAAATATGGAGTGGCCAGAGGAACAACATGTCATTTTTAGACTAGAGTAAGGCAACAAAGATCCAAAGTACAAAGATTTACCAATGTCCCCCTTCTTGTGTTGTATTTGATGGCTTTAACTCTGACTTCAGACATTTCTAATAACCCCACATTTTTAAGGGAGGTGGTCTAAACCAATGTTTCTCAAACCTTTTACACCACGTACCACAAAATATTAACCCCTCAAAGTACCACTAACTACAGTTTAGCACTGTCACTGAAGTATTTGAAATGACACTCAATTTGTCTGAGTGAATTCGAACAAATCTCAAAGTGCATATTTTCAACTGTAGAAAACATGGCTATACTACAAGACTATACAAAGAAATAAGACATTGACTCTTACCACAGCAATGGGCAAGCTAATGTTAGCAGATGAGTCTCCAGGTTTGTTGTGGTTTTAGAGTTAGACAGCTGCTTTGTGCAAAGTCGACAGAAGCACACTGCTTCTCAGACACTTTGGTGTCACGATTGTCCACTCAGGACGGTTGTTGTCCATGCTTTGCTCGCTAGTGTCCTCCCTTTTCGTAGTAAACAACATAACATTGCTAGCTTAGTTTACGGATGGGTCAATAGGACATGCCATTGGTCAAACTAATAGTGGGGCGCCCTCCATTGGATTACAAGCTTTGACAGTTTAAATAAGTGGACACAGCTTCTAACGCTATAGTGTCTTAAACCTGCATTCTTTCTGATTGGCCAGCAGGGGGGAAATGACGCTTCTTCTCACCTGATTCATTAGCTTGGTGAACAGTTATCTAATGAGTGTATGATCTCAATAACTAGCTTTAAGTCTTCTTTCATACAGCGTGGTCTTTTTATAAATTATGGTCCATTTAGAGTAGAATTGCAGCAGGTAATGCTTTAAGCTGGGCTACCTTGTGATGACTTTTCATTCCCAGTGAGTCCCTTCAGTGCAACTCACAAAACCCAGATCCAACTGTCAAACTAAGCAATGCTGATCAAATATGAACCGAGACTCTACTGTTAATAATGTACTGTCTAATGTTACTGCATTGCCTATTTCTGTCCTTAAATCTTTTCAGAAACATTTTAGTGTTTATCTGCAATACGAGAACGTGTGTGTATGTATGCTAGTAGTTACTTGTTCTTTAATCTATTTTTGTCTATCTTTTAATGTACACCACAGCTGTTTCCTCCATGTTGATTTCAGCACATCAGAGAGATCGCAGAATGCGACTTTAAAGCAGTGTATACCATCTGAAAGCTGAGCTCAACACAATCTTCTCTCACTAAAGTCACATCTACTGTCGTTCCTCAGAGACATGAATGCAGAATTACAGTATATGTAGGTTTAAAAACAGCCTGCGCTAAATGAATCCTTCTGATCAGACCTGAGTTTCTCTGATGTTTGCTGCCTGCGTCACATGTTTATTGAATTAGGCTTATTTGAACCGATGTGTTGGTGTTTGCAGGCCCGTCCTTCTCCATCGCCATCCATTCAGACGTCAGCAGCGTTTATCCATGGGAAACAGCCAAGATGGAGTGCTCGCTCAGCGTCTCTGGATCCTCACCAAAGACTGGTATGACACACACACACACACACACACACACACACACACACACACACACACACACACACACACACACACACACACAGGTAGACAACACTACTCTGAATGTTTTTGCTGATTTTGACACACATGCACAAAGCAACACAGCTGTAACACACACTCAAACACACCCTGCGTTCTTCACCTGCCAACTTGTCAGCAGCACTGCTAATAAGAATGATGTGACTCCTGCATTTCAAATGGTTGTGTAGATGAAATAGACTCTGCCTCTCCCTCTTGTTAACACACACACACACACACACACACACACACTGAGCTCTCACTTTCTTTTGTGGTGTGTCTTTGCGGCTTGAAATACTGGTTACTACTCGTGCTGTAGATTATAATGATAACATTTCTGTCATACCTTTCACATGTAAAATGAGCTCAATATTATCAGATCATGGTTGTTTTTTAATCTGGTTGATACAGAGACAAGAAACCACAGGTAAAGAGTAGCTACACCTTTTAAGCTTCTTTCAGCTCATTGTTTTGGACAACAAATGAACTGTTCTAACCGCTCTGATCAGTGCTGTTCTCTATAAACATCTCTATAAACCCACTGTACACCTCCTGCCTTTCACTACAGAGACAAAGTTAGTCACTAGCTGCTGAACAGTGCGCTGCATTTGTATTTATATTCATTCACAGCCCCAGTAACATTATAGCCCTCAGTTTACAATACTGCTATCGAGCAGTTGGGGGCTTTACACACAAAAATCAAACATTTTTGAGAATTTGTACAATGTCACAGAACAAAATACAGTACATCATGCTTCCCCCAGGTGGTCAAGATAATCGTGTAGTGAGAGTACCCATCTTGCAGAATGGCATCACTTAGTGTGTTTATATATATTCAATTTTTTTTTTTTTCAATGTGGATCAAATGTTACACACTGATTGATCTGTAACATTTCATCAAATTTTATAAACTGATCTCATGTTTTGGATGTGAGATATTTAGCTGTAGAGTAAATAGTAGCTGAAGCTGTTAGATAAATGTAGTAAAATGAGGGATGGAAAATAAGTACATCAACATTGTACAGTAGAATAAATGTACTTGGTTACATTCCACCACTGAAAGTTCCACATCGAAGAGAAATGTGGGATGCCGTTAAAAGAAATGAATTATTTGCACTTCTTCCCTTCTTTAGAACCTAGCCATCTGCAGTGTAACCCACCACTATTCCCCCTTCACTCCATTTATCTAGTTCTCCTTCTGTCCCACCCCCTCATTCCCTTTCCTCCCTCACACTAAACATCCATCCTTCTTCTGCCCTCCCTCCTCTTCCTCATCACTCCATACTCTTTAACTTAAGCACATCGCATGACATCACCACCTCCCTCTGTCCATCTGTCACCATCTCTCTCCCTGTCTCTGCGTCTTTCGTTACTGTCCAACATGTGTATCCTCATAGTGAGCAGATAAAACACATAACAGCCCTCCACACTCAGTGCTTGTGTGCGTGTGCGTGTGCGTGTGCGTGTGCGTGTGTGTGTGCGTGTGTGTGTGTGTGTGTGTGTGGTTGTTTGGAAATAACTTAGCAAACACAAGCAGAGCAGAATGCCATTTCCTATAGTGTTTGGACATATGTGAACACGTTTCTTTGCACCTGTGTCCTCACAGGAATGTATGTATATGTGTACATGTGCGTAATGTATGCCCATACATAAACACAAGTATTCCCTCGCTGCAGTGGTACGCTGCAGGGGTTGGTGGGTTGTGGTTGAGGGGCATGCTCTTTCACAGACAGCTTCCCCCATCAACATCACAGCTGTAATGTAAGTAAGTAATGTTCACCCCTCATCCGAATAGTGATACACTAGTCAACCAGTTCTTCCTTATTTTGTGAATTAAATGGTAGTTAGTGGTAGATAGTTCCCAAAGCTTTGGAAAACACAACCCCTGATGCAGGGACTTCTTTGGCACTTGGCACTACCATTGAAGAACTAAATTTAGTCTCTGGCGCCTCCGGTCGAAACACAGATCAAGTTCCTGGAGTTCCTCAAAAGGTTCTTGGTCCCCTGGAAAATGTTCTGCTGTAGACACCCCAATACAATACTATATAATATTTTGTGTAGTATCCAGTAGTATTTTGAGGAGTAAAACTAACAGTATTTCGAACATGAACATGATACAGGAGTTCAGGTGCAGTGTTCAACCAAAAAAGGTTAATCTGCGAAATCTGGCAGGAAGAGATACGACACTGTTAGCAGTGTGTTGGGGAATCTTCGGGGGAAGGGGGCGTTGAAAAATTAAGCAGCAACATCTTTACACACCGCAGTGTGCTGGTTACTCTGTGTACATCTCACTGTGAACAGTTTTCACTGGGACTACTTTTTTGCTCTACAGTATCCCCAGTGAGGTCTGTTGATTATCAGGAGTAACAGGGACATTGTGTTTTTCACAGAAATGTTCCTATTACATTTTTTAAATGCAACAAATTTATTTAGTTTGTTTGAGAAACAGATCTCTGAAACACTAGCCTTGAATTGAGTGTCAAGTTTATGCACAGAGACCGCTAAAGGTGAAGATTTTTTTTGTTGTGTTTTTGGTGAAATTGCTCTTTGAAGTAATGAGGTTCCATTATATTTGCCTGTTCATCAGGCTGTTTCCTCTGCACTCACTGTGACTCATGTTGTTTCATGGTGTGTCTGTGACGTGCGTGTCCTGTGGGCAGGTTTCAAGGTAAACTGTAACTAACTGACAAATCATTTCTCACTTCAACACATCTGTGAGTTTTGGGAAAAGGGTTACACATCATGCATTAATTAAATACCACTACAGCAGGAACACCGGTGTAGGTCTTTTGACCTGCAGCAACATTTAATCAGTAAATCCATTCCACTAAACACCTGATACCTCTCTGATAGCCGTGGTAGAAGCCAAGGAGAAAAAGCTCTTCATTTTTAAAATAGGCTCATTAATTTCCTAAAACAGCTGGGCACTGTATGCTTTTGAAATTGTTACTCAAACAGGAGTGAGAAGGGCATTTGTTAGGGACTATTTTTAGCTGCAGATAAATGCACATTTGGTTCTAGTCGCTTGTCTCTAATGAGTATTTCCAGCAACAGGACAGTGTAGTCAATAAACTACAGTGTGTAAAGGAACACCCAGTGCAACAGTGTGTTTCACTGATGTGTATTTAATTATTTTAGACAACAATGGAGCGCTATGGCACAGTGGAAGAAGATATATCAGGATTTAATGCACTCACAATACTTGTTAGTATACATTCACTATTGGTTTTGATCTTTGACAGTTGACAATAAAAAATATAGAATATTACCAGCATTGTCCTATATAAATATGATTCTTTCATATACTTGACAAAAACACATGCCATTGTATTTCTATAGATATTGCTGATGCTAATAATATTTCCACTATTATTTTCCTACCAGTGCCAACAGAATCATTAAGCCCTTTAGTGACGTTTACTGGTTCTATTTCTGTGGCAGGCTGGGTAAGTCGGGGCAGAGAAAGTAACCAACACTGTCACGAGTGTGAATGACACACAGGTAAAACGTTGCGTAATGGACCAATTAGCAAACTGGTATCGAGTGACACACATCAACAAAGGCGTGGTGTTTCCGTTGGCTTAGTTTGGGCAACAGCCAAACCTTCACTTCCTCAGGTGTTCTTACCCATGTGTACACTCAGTTTGCATAGTTATCCCTGTTAGGACATTCCCCTCACCTCAGTCATTGTAGATAGCCGAACACAAGCCTTTACCCCAACCTTACCCATAACCAATTCATGCCTAACCCTAACCTAAATTAACCCCTTAACCATAGCCCTAACCACCATTTGGGCCAGTCTTTGATCCCCAGGAGGACTGCTGGTCCTAACAGGGTCAGTTTTTGTACAGAAACGGTCCCCAATAGGTAACAAAACTGTGTACACACACATATATACAAAAAACATCCTTTTGTTGGGTGTGACAGTATATTACACTAAAAAGCAGCACCTTTGTTCCTGCCTGTGTTCGGATTGCAGATAGATATTCCAGTGAAGTAATATTAGCTGTGTTCGAACATTTATTGTGTCTGTGTGTGTGTGTGTGTGTGTGTGTGTGTGTGTGTGTGTGTGTGTGTGTGTCTTTGTCTGTGTTAGTGTGTGTCTTTGTCTGTGTGTGTGTGTGTCTGTGTGTGTCTGTGTCTGTGTGTGTGTGTGTGTCTGTGTTAGTGTGTTGTGTTAGTGTGTGTGTGTGTGTGTGTGTCTGTGTTAGTGTGTGTGTGTGTGGTACTATACAAATGATTCGTTCATTAGTTACCACCTCACCTTTGTAGCTCATTGTTCTGGCACAATAAGAGCAGAGGGAGACTAAGGGAAATTACTGAAAAGGTTGAGCAACAGCAAGTGTGTACGTGTAACACATTCCGTATAGAAGGCTGAAAACGGCTTTCCTGTTGGAGCTTGTTTTTATGATGGGCATGGTGAAACACACACTCATGCAAAATATTCTCCCATTATTCCTCGCTGCTCAGTGAGTGCTAGTGCTTATCTAGCCTTTGATTAGTGAAGCTATTAAGTACTTACAGGCAAATGCATAACTTTGCGTGTATGTGTGGGGGGGTGGGGTGTCACCTTACATGAACTGCGTTGGTGCTACAAGGAACCCTTTGCAGATATTATAGATTTGGCTTCTCAAAGTATGATACAGCAATAGAAAAACAGAAAGAGCTATACTTTGTGTTTAGTGCTATTTAGCAAAGGTTGGCATGGAAACATGATAAACTAACCCTAATGATGTTCAGCTCAAAGCACCACTGTGCAGCCTCCCAGAGTGGCTAGTGTGACTCGAGACTCTTCTCTCGTTAAGGCTCTAAGAACAGTTACAGTAAATCAGTAAACAGCTTCTAGACACTTCTTTGCAACTGCAACTTTAATCTTGTTTATGTTTAAGTTACACTTTGCAGTTTCACACATTGATACCCTCAGACAGCAGATGGTAGATAATTGTTTT